ATGGCCCGTGCGTCCTATCCATGCTCGTGATGTGTAACAGGAAGGGCTGTGATTATGGTCATGGCCCTGACTCGTAGGCTCCCTTTCACCTGGCATTGTGTTCAGGGTCATTGTTTGAAGCACAGCGAGAGCCGTACCCTTTCTGTGAGGGAAGTGTGAGAGCCTCTCTCTAGATCAAAAATGCTGTGCTATTTTTACTTTCCATTGGTTTATAGTTTTATATTTTTATTTGTAATTGAATGTGAGTTTTCAGTTTACGTAATACATTGACAAAGATCATAAGAAAAGACTTGGTATACAGGAAAAGCTTCGTGTACGGGAAAAGAACCCTGAGTTTCAGGTGATGTGCAGGGAGAGTTCAATGCCGAAGGATATTCCAGAAAACGAGTCGCAGTCTGCAGTGCCTGAGACCAAATGGCAGGAGTCCAGGTAGCGAGAGAGACCACCTGTGTCTGCCGAGAATTCTCTTCAGGTGTCCTCTTTCCATGTCTCAGTCAAACAGGAGTTTACCTTTTGATTATTGTGGATGCCCCTAAGGAGAGAGGCCAGAGTGGCCCCAGTCCTGAGGAGAGAGCCACCCATTTCACGTGGGGCACAGGCCCTCCGCTGGGCAGACTCATGGCCTGTGTGGCCCCCTCGTCACATGAAATGGAGGCCTGCCTGGAGTCCAGTCAGTGTGTCAGTCACAGGGGTAATTATCAAATGAATCCACTTGTTTTTTACATTTCTTGGTGAAAAGTAGTTAACAGTAGAGGCTGGACCCCTGTGCTCTGACTCTCCCAGTGACTCCCGCAGCTGTGGGCCTGCGGGGGCAACTGGAGGGGGGCCGTCCGCCCAGGGCCATCCTGTCCCCTGTCAGCAGGTGGCCGTCAGGGCTCTGCCGTCCCAGAGATTTCGCTCAGGGTTGCTCAGGAGCAGGTGCGGGCTCTGGGCCCTGAGACTTCTGCTGTTAAAGTGTGAACAGAAGTTTGCTCCAGAAATCAGCTCAGTGCGTTTTCTCAACACAGGTGTTCTGTTTGCAAGGCCTTTGACACTAACCTCAGCGATGAGGAAAAGTGTTTCCAGTTCCAGAGCCTAGTAGTGCTAGCTTGATAGTGATCACTCCCGAGCTGACAGCGGTGAAGCTCCGTAAGCTTCTCCTTTTGCTGACACGTTCTAATGAAGACCATCTTCCTCCGCAGAGAGAGCCAGCTGAAGAGGCCTTGAAGAGTCACAACATGAGTCTCGATCAGGCCATGAGTAAGTAACGCCCTGAAAGCAGTCAGGGATGAGTGGCCAGGTGCGCAGGGTGGGCAGGGGCAGGGCCGGGCCCAGCGGAGAGGAACTGTGCCGTGTGCCCAGCCACGTAGCCAGGCTCCTGGGGCTGCTGGGCGCCGGGACGGATGGCTGTGCGCCACGTCGAGCTTCAGCGAGTAGATGAATGTTTCCCATCTTTTCTGAGGGAGCTGTAGGACACCCGTGCTGGGCCGGCGGAGCCCTCGCTCCTGTTGAGACTGTCCAGGAACAAGCAACCCTAGTTCTGGAGCTGGCTGCCTTAGAAGTCATATTACATTAAACATGTTCGCGCAAAATACAGGGTCGCTCGTGGGGACTGTGGCTGCTGCCTGCACACCTCTGGCCACAGCATTCTGTCACCAGCCAACACACAACCTTTTTTGACATGCGGTCTGTTTAAAGACCTTATTTAACATATTTCTTACAAGCAGTCATGTGGCACATTTCTTTATGATGAAGCATTAGCTAAGGAGGGGCTGACGTTTTCCTGACCCTGGGTAATGTCACCGTAAGTGTCTTTGGCTTTTATGCTCACACCAGTGCTACTGGGGCTGTGCTGGATGGTCCCCAGGGAGAGGACAGCTGGGCCCTGAGGGACAGTGTGGCCGGAGGAGCAAGTGCAGAGGCGTGGAGCCAGGGCTGGGAGCAGGGCCGGCAGATGGTCAGGCCTCAGCCAGAACCACACCAGGGCCTCCCTGTCTCCGGGGCTGGGGGTCCCATGCTCCGCGTCAGGACCGGTCCTTGGCACGTGTGTCAGGCTGTGTCTGGGGCTCCAGGTGCTCTGCTGGAAAAGAAGCTGGACGTGGACAAGCGTGGACTGGGGGTGACTGACTACAGTGGAACGGTCACCAAACCCCTCGGCTGCCGCCCACCAATCTCCAAAGAGTCTTCCGTGGACCGCCCCACCTTTCTTGACAAGGTATGAATTTAGGTGGTTTCTGTCTGTTTTACGGGAGGTGTTTTTCATTTTATCTGTGTCCTTAAGGGAAGCCAGATTAAAAATCGGCTGGACTGTGAGATTTATGTGACTTTGCCCAGTTTTTGTAGCATATGTAAGTGTTTAACCCAAAAGACGTAGTGCTGTATTTTATATGATGTGATGAATAAAAAGTGCCAGAACTGAAAACTGATTTCCATGTTACTGGGTGACCCTGGCCGGGTTGTCTGCTTCAATTTGTGCAGCAGACAAGGGGCGTGGGATTCCTGCACTGTCCTATTGTATATGCACACTTCTGGCCAGAGGGATGGATTATCATGATGAGTCTGAGAAAAGAGACTGGGCCTGGGCCGGTGTCCGGCTGGCCCTTGCTGGGATCGGCCACGTCAGAGAGCGTGCTGGTGTCTGTGCGGGTCTCCCCTGGGTGTTTAACATGTCCAGTCACTGGGTCAGACCTTTTAGCATCATCCTGGAGTGACGTCCCCTCCCCAGAGGACATGACTGCAAAGCGCCTCATTCAGTTCAGTCAAGTGGGGAACCTGGGAAATGAGATGGGAGCCAGAAAGGACAAGTTAGGAAAAAAGGAAAGGTTCGCAGGAGAGGAGATGGGGCTCCTCCCTGTTCTCAGAGAAACAGGGTCCCTGGCCCCACATTCCCCGCAGAGAGCTGGGTGAGGCCCACGTCCTGGCCCCGCCCTGCACCAGTGTGCCCAGGGATCAGAGCCACGGTGCCCAGTGACTTTGGAATTTCAGATGAACAGGTAATTTGGGGAGCATACATATTCTAAGATATTATTTGTTGTTCGTCTGGAACTCCAATTTAACTTGGCATTCTGTAATATTTGCCAAGTGTGGGGGCCTGACTGGTTTCCTCATCTTTAAAGTGGAGTCATGCTGCAGGCTTATTGGGAAGTTAGATACAATAAATCTGCAAGGGGCCTGACACATAGTGTGACCTCAATAAGTGTAAAAAAAATTAATAGAATTCTGCCTGATTTATAACTTACACGATTATTAACTTAAACCACATGAGGTTGGTGCATTTGTCCAAAACTTGGCTGTCAGCAGAGCTCCACCCAGCAAATGCCGAGTGCCCGGCAGTGGCTTCTCAGGGGCGCCTGTTTGTTTGGAGAGAGTGGCAAAGTGTTTGAAGTCAGCCTCTGCCTTTCTCCCCACTCCACCCCTGGGTAGGGTCGGGACTGGGTGAGAACATTGTCAGCTACCATATGTGTTTGTAAAGTAATCGTTAACGTGAAAACAGCACCTTGACCTGTCTGTCTCTTCTTTCCCTCCTTCCTTTGCCCATGTTCATTCGGTTACCATCCGCTTCTCTCCTAATTCTGTCTTCACCCACGTCCCTGTGCGCCCGTGGGAAACGGCTCGGTGCTCTGTCTGAGGTGGACACTGCACACAGCTCTCCCTTTCTCTCTCCAATCAGGACGGCGGCCTTGTGGAAGAGCCCACGACTTCACCATTTTTGCCTTCGCCAAGCCTGAAGCCCCCCCTTTCAAACAGCGCACTCCCCAATCAGGCCCTGGGCGGGAGCGCCTCGGGGCTGGGCGTGCAAAGCTTGAATTCTCGGCAGGTAAGGCTGTGGGCAAGAGCCAGCGTGGCCTCGAGTCACCCGCCTGTGGGAATGCCTGAGGCATACCTTCCTTATTTTAATGAGCACCATGTTCTAAAGTGTGGGCAAATGTATAAGGCCCTTGAAACGTACAGGGTTCCCTTTCAGTGGTTTGCTGGCGTGAAAACTTGAACCCAGTCCTTGAGGGTTAGCCATGCTGTAGGAAATGCTTCACAGTCATGTTTCGTTTTCCACATAACTGAGATACACTTGAGCCAGCGCCTTTGACGCTCACTTACCACTCGTTTCAATGCTGCGTGTTGCAGAGCAGCCTCCTGTTGCCAGGTCTGGGCATAAATCAGAACCTTCAATATGTTGATCCCAGAAAGCACCATGCTCTCTTTTTCTCAGAACTAGAGGTGACATCTCTCATAAGGTTACAGTGGTTTTCAGGTCCGTTAGCATTTTTTTTCTGCCTTTGACACCCTGGGGGAAGTGAGTCTCTGTCAGACGTCACTGTGGGGAGGACCTGCGGGTTTGGATGGGTGGCTGCACCATGTCCCTTCTTGGCCTAGATTCTTTAGAGGGAAGCAGTGTGCAGGCAGACTGCACTCATCCAGCTAGAGGGCATCCCCGCCCGCTGGTTTCCTCTTGGACCAGACTTCGTCATTAGCTGCTGGGACGCTGAGGGTGGCCCAGCAGCCCCGTGCTGCCTGGTGTCCGGGCTAGCTACCAGAAGCGTGTCTCCTGCTGTCTGCAGCACCCAGTCGGCCTGCCCCTCGGGGCCTGACATAGCTGAACCGGTGGTTCGGGGGGCACCTGCATGGCCCCGGTCCTGCCCACGGGGGTCCTGCTGGTCCTGTCACAGAGGAGGTGCAGTGTCCCACAGTTAACTGCCTGGGTGTCCCTTCCTTCACTTTGCGGTTTTGTTGTTGAAATAGCTGTTTCCTGTGTGGCAGTTGACTTTTCTCTCACACTGACTGTTGCCTCAGCCTCGGGGGAGCGTGTGGTGTCCACGGCCGGTCACCCTGTGTGGTTTCCTTTCGTGTGACGGCCGCAAAGACACAGGTGCGCCGCCCTGACTGGCTCCCACCCCGGTCGCCAGTTTGAGCAGCACTTCCTGAAAGCCCCTGCGGTGCGAGGTGCGAGGTGCCCGGGGGCGCAGCCGTGCTGCCCTGGCCGCGGCCCTGGTGACCCGTGTCCCCCGCAGATCCCGAGCGGCAGCCTGGGTGTGTTCGGCAGCAGTGGAGCAGCACAAGCCAGGACCCTGCAGCAGCCGCCGCCGCCCGCGCCGCTGACCCCCTCCCAGCCCAGTCTCCGTGCGCAAGTGCCTCAGTTTCTATCCCCTCAGGTCAGGCCCGTTGACCTGCGGCTCCCGGGGGTCCGGGGTCCCGTGCTGTCGGGGCTGCGCTGCGGCTAGGAGGGAAGGCATCTGCTCGCCCCTGGCCTGTCCCAGCCCAGAGGCTCTGAGAGCCGCTTCTGGGGCGCCGCAGCCACC